CCGGCTGGGTCAAGCTCTGATACCATTCTGTAACGACCCAAAATTAGGGGCTATGACAAAATAAATTCTGAAAAAACCATCCAAATAAAATCAGACCATTCTTGGTCCTACTTTAACCCAAATAACCACAAACCAAATCCCGCTGCGCTACTCCCGTAATTACCAATTTAAACACCTCACAAACAACCTCAAAACAAAATCTGCATTGCAATTAATTAAAAATTCGTAGAAAATTCATTTTAAATCGAAATGGAGCAAACAAAAATGATTTGAAAACTAGACTCAAAGGGTTAATGTGACACTGCAATTCTCAGCAACTTAAGCTTTGCCAATAAAATCAGTTTTTGGACGGAAAAGCAGTTAAAGAATGAGCTGCAAAATAAAGTTTTCGGCAAACTTCGTTCATTTGAAAAATATCTGGAGCTAAGAAAATTCCAATAAATTCGTTTTTAGAAATTAGACTTAGGGAATTATAAGATTGTAAATTTTGATAAAGATCTGGTGTCAAGATGTTGGTCAAATAATTCATTTAAAACCTGTTTTCCAGCAGGATGGACAGCCTGCACTGTCGGATTTTTATAAAATAATATGCTGGTCTAAAAATTCCAAAATTAATTTGAGAGGTTCTAGACATGTAGGGGAACCTGTGATAAAACTTTTGTAGCCATTGGATCAATAAAAATCCTGATAAAAATTCATTTCTAGAGGAGGTCTAGGGAAAATTGTAATGCTTTTGGGCAGAATTTACATTTTCAACAACTACCAGATTTCTTATATTTCCCAACCATCAAGCTCACAGAACCAGACCTTAAAATACATAGAAACATCATTACTAATATTCACAATCAAACCATTACAAGGTGGTTAGATTAGAATCTTCAATATACATCAGTTTCCTTAAGACGAATTCATACAACATCAAATGAGTCTCCAACAACCCAAAACGGCAACTCCAAGTCTTCTAATGATCATAGAAACCTGCAATGATGATAGGGTGAGACTAGAAGTCCCAGTAAGAAAAATCTAATATGTGTTGCTATGGGATCTCATACACAAGAGGGACATGCTTCACATAATTTAATCATATGGATTTCTATGTAAGATAGAATGCTTCAAATAAATAGATCACGGAGCTTAGAACAATCATGTATGAATGTGATAATTGAAACAAAGAACAGCCCATGACTTTCAACAAGGAATCCAAATCTCAGCACATGACAACAAGAGAACCAATTTCCAATTTATGGAAAATCCTGTAGAGGACTTGAAAGAGTAAAGCATGGAGAGTATGAAATAAAATAACACATAACAACATAAATTAGAGGAACCCTACCTCCCATGGAGAAAATATAAATAAATGAAGATGTGCATGGATGGTGAGCATAAAGAAGACCAAGGCGGAGATGCGTAAGTGCAGGTTTTGCCACCCTTCTTCTTTTCCCTCTTTCTCCTCCTCTTCTTTCATTGCTTTTCTCTAACTCTAAATCTCAAATCTCCATCATTCTCAATCTCTTTTTGTCTCTCGGTGCTTCTTGTTGGAACACAAATGAGAGTGGTATCTGGTATGGTAAGTGTATTCAAGGTTGTATATACAAAGGGCAGGTGTATGGTCTCTGAAAGAAACATGTCATAGGTTTTGCATGTAAGAGGACAACTGTTACTTAGTGACACTGAGGGTCGCCACTTATAATCCCACTAACTACACTTTCCTAAATTTCCAAACAATCCCCTTACACTTGATTAATTTAAACAAAAACCTCAAATAACTCTTGCAGCTCTTATGTAATTAAATTTGTAACCCATCTGCAAGAATGAAATAAAATTCCCAAATAATATAATATAGTCTCCAATAACACAAAATCAATAAATAATCACACTTAAAGCCTAAATAAAAATCCGGGTTATTACAATCTCCACCCCTTTAAGGAATTTCGTCCTTGAAATTCAAATCTCAACTCGTTTCCGTATCATTCGGAAAGCATAAACCACAGAAGTTCTTTGCCCTCCTCGAAATTCAAATCTCAACTCGTTTCCGTATCATTTGAAAAGCATAAACCACAGAAGTCCTTTGCCCTTTTTCCCCAAGCCATGTGAGAGCGCGACCTATAACTTAGTTGTGCTAGCTCGCCAGTGCCCGTTACCTGCCCACACACTGTAAGCAGTCATGGTAGCTAGCTAATGTCCGTCACCCGCCCACCCACCCACACCCGTCTACATGTGGTAGCTAACCAGTGTCTAACATCTGCCCACTCACACTGTAGCCCGTCATGGTAGCTAGCTGGTGTATGTCATCCGCCCACTCACACCCTTTTACATGTGGTTGCTAGCCAGTATTCGTCACTCGCCCACACACACTGTTTACATCGTCACTATCACCACAGTTCCGGTTAGGTAATAGATCTGATACCATTTGTAACAACCCTCACCCTAGCAAGACACAATATTGTCCACTTTTGGTTCCCCCGGAACAGAGACTTCCCAGGGGGTCACCCATCTTGGTACTACTCCAGGTTAAGCACGCTTAACTCTGGGGTTCTGGTGGGTTCACGGTCATCACGGCTTTAAAATGTGTTGTGTCATAGAAGGGTGTTGAATTTACATATAGCACTTGCCCATCCACACCCACCCGATGTGGGATTGTGCACCTTTAGCTCACCTAGTGTGGTAGCCTGTCAGTGCTTCTTGCACCCTCCCACGGCACACCCACCCACAAGGTCGTCACACAATAGTTTTTACTTAAGGTTTACCAAATTGGGGCCGGATCAGAGAAGGAAACAGATGAGTGAGGATTGACTGGGCTATAGAGAGAGAGTGTGGTAGTTGGTCAGTGGTGGTCGGAGAGGTCAATGGCTCCCCAATCGGCACCATAGAGGCGGAGGAGGATCACACTGTCCCTGGGGTAGAGGTAGTTCTGTACTGCCCACTTGACGGCGAAGGCACTCTCGTCGCTGAGGTCGACAGCGATGGCGAAGCGGCAGTGAGCTCTGAGCAGCTATGTCGATGCGGCGGTGAGCTCCGATGGCGTTCCTCAAGAGTTGTCACGTCATCGTCGGCAATGGTAACGTCGGCACTCTCAAGGAAGTCCGCGTCGTGTCCGAGCTTCCGTGACCTGGTTTCTTCATTTTTTCGGCGTCAAGGGTCTCCTTTTTCCTTGCTAATGTCGGGACATCGATGACAACGATGGTCGCTGCCTGTTCCATGAATCCATATACTAGGTTACGTTACCGTAGGAGTGGATGAGGCACTTGTAGATTGCAATTGGGGGTGTTGGTTTTCGTCCTCGTCATTGACGTGCGTTCTTTGGTGAGAATTGCAGAGACGGAAAGAGGAGAGAAGGAGATGAACAGTATAAAAGGGAAAAAATGTAAAATATTTTTTTGGGCAAATATTAGTGGGCAAAAGGGTCATTATTTATTCTTAGATATTTTACCCATTTTTAGTAATATAATAATAATGGTATATATGTAAATTCATAATCAAATATGACATTGGGGTGTCTTTGCAACAAAATGGCAACCTCAGGTTTAGTTGCAATTAGTCCAAAACCTCAGGGGAGGTCATTGTAGTTTAGAGCACACAACAAAATTGAACAAGGTCAGACTTCAGTTCAATATGAACCACTTGTATCCTGAACGGTAAAAAAGAAAAACTTGAACTAATGCATGGGAATCTCCCCACCCTCAAACGATGCCTCTTCCTTTCTCCAAAGTCCAAATGCTCCATAGAAGGAATACAGCCTGTGTTTTCCACATCAACTAAACTCTACCATCCGGCATCCCCCTTACTAGCAATGTGTCACTTGCTGACTGACCTAGGCATACCCAAGAACCCAAAATTTGTTTAAATTCAAGCTCCGTAACCCCTCACTACAGGGAAATGCAGAAGAAGATGATTAATCTACTACTCTACTCTTTCACATCAATTAGAACCCCGCCCCCCCTCCTTGCAATAAATGATCAATAAGCCAATTATCTTCGTTCGAACTACTATCCAAGCAAAACGATGCTCCCCCTCCCCTTCCTCGCAATAAATGATCAATAAGTCAATTATCTCCGTTCGAACTACTGTCCAAGCAAAACGATGCGAAGATGGTTGTTTGGTCCTCCAAATATCTTTCCGAGGAAACTTGGAAGGAAAATGAGAGCTTTATGGTCTTGTGCAAAATTATGATTAAATAATTTTTTGTTAATTGGAAAAATTCGAAGATATGGTTAAAGTTCTCGGTGTATTGTGTTTTCACTCTGTTGGGGAAACCCCTCCTAACCTTTAAATTTATGTTTTTCTGTTTCTTTTTTTGTTCTTTTTTATTTATTTATTTATTAATACTCCGCGTCTAAAGGATGACTGGAAACTTCAACTGAAACAAAACTCTTTTTTTCTTTTTTTACCCTCACTTTTTTAATCCCTTTCTCTTCTTTTCTTTGTTACTCATTTAAGTTCTTACATGTTGGAGTATGGTTTTCTTATACACCCTTGGTTTTACCCTACTTTGTTGTCTATTAATGAAAGACTGTGTTAAGATCACAAAGCTGATGGTTGCCAATGCAGTCTCACTGGAGCCATTGAGATGATCCTGATAAAAAGATGAGTAGATTGTGTGAGAGATAAGGAAGTAGGGAATAAGACTTCAGAAAAAGAGACATGACATGAGGCCTATTCACTTAGAATCTTAAACACCTTGATGTTAAGATGTTACATACACATGTTTTATATTCAGTGTTGACAAGAACTTTCTATACAATATGAAACAGTGGTATTTTGAGGGGCTTCTTATAGGGTTTGTTGTTTTGATTTCCAAAAGATTATGTATTTTGGGTCTTAAAACATTGCTGTTCAAATTTGAAAAAGTGGCAGATTTGGTTTCTTTTCTTCTAACAAGTTAAATTGTTGGGTAGTTACACTAAAGAATTTTCTTGTAGCTATCATATGTTGTTACAACGTTTAGAAGAATATGCAGCTTTCGTTAGCAGCTTTAAAAATTGGAAGTTTCCCAATTGCAGGTAAAGCTAAAGGTGTTCTCTTTGAAGATGATGGTGATGGATATGAATTCACTAAAGGTGGATATCTTTTGACAACATATGCCGCTGAACTTCAGTCTTCAGTTGTTACTGTGAGAGTTTCCAAAACTGAAGGATCATGGATGAGGCCAACACGTCGTCTGCATGTGCAATTATTAGTTGGTGGGGGTGCAATGGTATGTCATCTGCTGTAAAGATGATTATTTGTTTGACAATATATATATATATTTTTTATTTTTTATTTTATTTATGTCAATACACTGTTTCAGCATTAAAGGTTCATTGGGTTTTAGTTATTTTCATTTTCTTGATTTCTTCAACAGCTTGATGCATGGGGAGTTGATGGAGAAGTTCTTCAAATCACGATGCCTTCAGAAAATGAAGTATCTGATTTAATATCTACAAGCAAGAAAAGTCATAAGATTCGTTTAGGTAATATGGCTTATCTAAAATATCTTTTAGCTGATATTCTTTTTATTTTTTATTTCCCTTTTTCCTAGTATTTTTAACATCCAACCCTTGCCGCATTCTCCTTGGGAAACTTGGAACCAGTAAGTAGTGTTATGACAAACGCAACGAATCCAAGTTGAACCAAGAATCACAACAGAAAATTAAACACCCCACACAAAGAATACAAAGATTTATACGTGGTTCGGCAACAGCCTATGTCTACGGTTGGGATCCGGTGAAAGTTTTCACTATGTGTAAAATTGGAGATTATAAGTTTTCAGCCCTTCGCTCTGTTTCTGTACGAATTTCAGAGTCTCTCTCTTACACCACTCCAAACCCTAAGTGCCTTTATATATCAGACTACAAGAGACTAATTAGGGTCCACGACCTATGAGCAAAAAACGGGTCAAAAGCTTGGGCCCACACAAAGCTCATCCAACGGGTCGTCGAGTAATAAGCGGGTCGCGTTGTGACCCGGCTCCAAATTCAGGCCACAATATCACAAATAGTATGCTCTTTTCTTTCCTCTTCAAGCAGAATTGACTACAATGAAACCTTCCTCGTATGCTATCTTATGTAGTTTCAATTTGGTGGTGTAAACACATCATCTAATTGACACATCAATGATGGTCTCCATAAGAGCAGATTCCTCTTTTTTTTTCTGTTAGCATATATGATAGCACGATTTATGAAATGACTTACCACATTAGCAGATATTTAATTATGCTATAGAATATGCCATAGAATATGCTTTGGAATATGCTATGATTTGATTTAGATTTGATTTAGTTTCCTTTCTTGTAATATGAGCATATACTCTTTTTATCTATAAATACTAAAGTTGTGAATGAGTGATTCATCTCATTCAAGCCTTTACATATTATTAAATCTCATTCAAACCTTTTACATATTTCTCTTCTCTTTGTTTAATATTGTATTTCTTCTTGGTATCAGAGCCAGGGTGGTCCAACTGTAATGAGGGCATTGCGAGTTTGGCACCACCCATTCAGAAATGGTCTAAGGTGAGATCGCCCATCCGAGAGGTATCGGGTAGGCTGGGTGGTCCGACCTCAATGATGGTGTTGCGAGTTTGACACCACTTATTCAGAAATGGTCTGAGGAGACATAGTTGTTTCTTTTTATGGTCTGAGGAGACATTGTTAATTCTTTCATCTACATTGTTTAAACATATGTATGAAGGGGAATGGTCTGAGGAGACATTGTTGTTTCTTCCATCTACATGTTTTAAATATGTGTATGAAGGGAAATGGTCTGAGGAAACAATAAGGAGACATTGTTGGTTGTTTATGGTCTGAGGAGACATTATTGATTCTTCCATCTACATGTTATAAATATATGTATGAAGGGAAATGGTCTGAGGAGACAATAAGGAGACATTGTTGGTTGTTTATGGTCTGAGGAGACATTATTAATTGTTTATGGTCTGAGGAGACATTTTTGATTTGTTGATCAGCACTTCATCTGAGAGAAAATCATCGCTAGTCAAATTTACACTCCGTTTGTCACAAGCTCTCATCAGCTTGCAGACATTCTTACAAAGGGCGTTAGTAAGATTGTGTTTGAGAATGCATTGTCCACGTTGGGCATTTCAGATATCCACGCACCAACTCGAAGGGAAGTGTTAGCATATATGATAGCCACGATTTATGAAATGACTTGCCATATTAGCAAAGATTTAATTATGCTATAGAATATGCCATAGAATATGCTTTAGAATATGCTGTGATTTGATTTAGTTTCCTTTCTTGTAATATGAGCATGTGCTCTTTTTATCTATAAATACTAAAGTTGTGAATGAGTGATTCATCTCATTCAAGCCTTTACATATTATTAAATATCATTCTAACGTTACATATTTCTCTTCTCTTTGTTCTATATTGTATTTCTTCTTTCCATCATATTTTTTGCAATGCATGCACTTCTCTAAAATTTGTGTTCTTTAATATACTATTTAATTTTGATTATGCCTTTTTGAAAATTTATTTTGAGTAATTTTGTGATTTTAATATGTAAGGTTCTGGCCAAGACAGTCTATTTGGAAGTTAATTTTATAGAATTCTGGATATTTTTTTTTTTAACAAGCTGTTAGATGCAGAAAGTGTTAAGCCAATTCCAGATGAGGAAAAGGTTCCTGGACACAAAGGAATTGAACTTTCAAGGACTCCTATTGAACTAAAAAGTGGTGATTGGGTTCTTAACGTGGTTCCTTGGATTGGGGGTAGAATCATTTCCATGGAGCACCTTCCTTCAGGTAATGCTTATGATAGAGGAGCTTTATTGCATATGTTAGAAAGACTTTAAGATTTTTGCTTCTTTCTTATTTGTCTGTCTTATATTTCTGAAAGAAGATGCTTATTATCACATTGTTGAATTATTAATTTTTCTGTTTATTTTTGTACTGTTCTAGTCATTTTGAGATGAAAATATAACTGTTAATGTTGGTGTATGTGCATGATAGAGAGATCTTATGGGAAATAGCAGAGCTTGACCCTTAAGAGGTTGGCTCGCTAGTCATATTACTAGAATTGAAATTTCAAAATCACCCCGGCTTCATCATATCACAATTAATACTCTTCCTATGAAGCACGTATATCTATCATGCCTGGCTTTTATATAAGTCAGAGAAACAACTTTTTGTAAATATATCAACTAATTGACCTTCAGATTTAACATAGACTGTAATACTTTTTTATTTTAAATTTTGTTTGTGTCTTTCTTATCACCATATGTATCATATAAAGTAACTGTCAACCTCTATTGTTTGATCCTTCTCATGGAGTATTGGATTAGAAATAACATATATGACTATTTAGTGAAAAGAACATAATATTTGATGACAGCTTGATTGTTCCAAAGATGTGCATTGGAAAATCTGTCGGAAACCCCATCCCAAGTGACTTATCTCAAATCTTTTCAGATGCTTCATGTGCTATAGCTCTATAATCAGCTTTACATTTTGCTTCTTGCTTTTCAATGTAACTGCATTGGCGCTAATACACGTACAGTGTTCAGAAACTGACTTCCTGCCCAACTGATCTCCAGCTCATTCTGCATTAAAGTAGGCCATAATGTGAAGAGAGCTAGAAGGCCCGAATTGACCTTCTCTTGCATCTCGTTTGAGGTACCTCAATATGGTACAGGGCCTCCTAATGTTGTTGCCTGACTCTCCATAAACCGACTATAATAATTCTAATAGCAAATTGCAATATCTAGAACTATTATAGTTTCATATATAAGCTTTCGTACCAATTTTCTATGTTTATCAGGACTATCAAATAACTGTCTTGCATCTCTCACAAATTCAACATTAGGATCAATGGGGTCTGAATTTCAACTGATTTTTTCCCACACGACCTGTCTCACACCAAAGAAAATTAACACAACACCTGTATCCTAAGAAGCACGGACACGGATACGGGACACGGATACGACACGACACGGACACGGCGACACGGCAAATCCAAAAAAATTAGGACACGGACACGGCGAATAGTGTATATATATATGATGTAGTACTTTAAAAATTACCAAGTGTTACTATTTTTCATCAACCTCACAATGGAAAATATATACAAATCATAACTTATAACTAATAAACTATAAAAGAACAATGTTGCAGAGTTATAAAACCAAATAAAAACAAGATATTAGAATAATAACTAGTATCATTTAATCATCATTGCAACTTTACTCCAAATACAAAAGCATAGACTGAAAGGACTATTAACATTCATGATTGTTTAACATTCAGGACTGTACTGTTAGCACTTAACATTCACAAAAACCTAAAGGCTAGTCCCAAAAAAGATACAAAAACAAGTCAGTGTACTATCATCTATTCCCATCCATCATTTGACCTAGGACTTTACCATTTACAATACCAAAAGGGTAGTCCAAAACAAAAAAAAAAAGAACATATCAGCATTCATCTATTGTTGTTCATCATCAATTGTCTCATGAATCTCATCATCATTAACACTTCCATCATCGGTAAATAATACCGCCTCTAATTCTGGCTCATCAAGTGAGAGGTTTGCAACCTCAAGCACCCCAACATCACCAAATGAATCAAATGCATCTCCTGCAATATCCCACATCTTAGTTCGTCCTTCATTGTACTGTGGGGTTCTCCTTGACAGAAGACGGAGATTACTATGAATGAAAACCAAATCTTCAGCCCGTTGTGGCGCCATCTTGTTCCTTCTCAATGAGTGAATAAAAGAATAAGTACTCCAGTTCCTCTCACAACATGAGGAGGAAGAAGGCTGGACAAGCAACTTCAAAGCTAACTCTTGAAGCAAGGGACCATATGAACCATGTACAACCCACCAACTTTTAGGATCCATGGTATATCTATCACATATAGAATCACTCTCCCCAAATTCCCCCGAGTTTGATGAAAAATTAGCATACTCCAATTGGACTTTTGAACGCTCTTGTGGGTCACTAAAGTATTTTTTAAGGCACCTTGTTCTCTCTCTTGAGACCTCTAAATCCTTGTGTGGTGGAACTCGACTTTGGTCTTCACTAAGCCACACATCACTATAGTACCTACAATAAATAAGAGAATGCATTTAATTCATAATTTAATTTCCTTAATTCTAAACTAAGATTAAAACTTCTTTAGCTTACAAATTAATATCTAATGATTTACCTTGGATTTAGTGAATGTGCCAAGCAATGAAGCGGAGTATTGTTCTTGTTCCAACGAGCTACAAGTATCCCATGCACCACTTCATAAAAGGAAGAACTTTCACTTTGTCGCTTTCTTTCATACCTATATATTGCCATCTTCACTTTTTCAATCATTGTATCCCACATATCATAAACTAAGTGAAGACAAGGCTTATCGGTATCACAAGCCCTTAGCATGTCATAAATAGGTGAAGTAAAGGAAAGGATATAATCAATCTTTCCCCACCATTGTTCATCCAACAGCTTCTCTCTCACATAATCGGCCTTTCCTACATCATCCTCCTTATAGCAAGTCCACTTGTCACTTATGACCATTACTTGGAGACCACCTTTTATAAGTTTAAATCTTTTCATCATCACAATAACAGAAGCAAAGCGTGTCTCTGCAACTGAAAGCAACTTCAAGCTGACAAACTCATTGAAAATAGCTAATCTCATTGAATGGTTCATGATGAAATTCTTTATTATTGTAACCTCATCAGCATAATCAAGAATCCAACCACACTCTGCATATGCAATTTCATTCTTTTCCACATTTTTTGCAGCACAAATATTTTTGAGGGCAAGATTAAGAGTATGGACCACACAAGGTGTCCAAACAATGTGAGGGAATTGCCCTTCAATTAGTTGTCCAGCAGCCTTGCAATTTGGGGCATTGTCTGTAATTACTTGGATCACATTTTGGGGGCCAACCTCATTTATGACTTCCTTCAACAAATTGGAAATGAAAAACTTGTCTTTAATTCCACCAGAACAATCAACAGCTTTCAAAAACATGGGACCTCCTTCTGTCATAGCCATAAAATTAATTAAAGGCCGCCTTTGTGGATCACTCCAACCATCACTTGCAATGCTAACACCCTTTGCCTTCCATGTACTCCTAATTGGTTGCAATACTCTATCAATATTTGCCTTTTCTTTTTGAAGTAGAGTGGTTCTCAATAGATTATAACCCGGAGGCAAATAACCTGATAGAGGATTATTTGCAGCATAGTTGTATGAACTCACATAATACGAGTTTCTTGCTAGATGAAACGGCAATCCTGCGGAATAAAACATCCTAGCAATCTCTGAGTGCAATTGTTCCCAAGCCTCATTATTAAATGCCTTCCCAATGGCACCCCCACTTGCCTTTCTTTTCTTTGGTACATAAGCCTCCTGAGTGAGACTAGTAGTACCACCCAATGATGCACTAGACGGCGGCAAAGGAACTTTTTTTGGTTTAGAATTTTTAATTCTCAATTCGGCTTCTTCAATTGCTTTTTGCATTTCTGCAATATTCTGATATGTGACTTTTGGACATATACGAATACCCATACCAGTGTTCTGCAACAAGTGGGCTTTAACTCTTGTATAAGACCCCCTGAATTCGTTATTACAAAAGTGGCATTTGAATAAAAAATTTCCTCCTCCACCACCAATTTTTTCTAATTGTGTGACATAGTTCCAAAGTGGTTTGTTATCATCTTGTTCGAATTGAGGAGTACAACTAGCAACTGATGTAGACAATGACATGTCTAATTCCCTAGACATAAAAAGAAAAGAAAAAAAATCCATACTTACAGCAGTCAGCAAAGAAAGAACAGTCAGCAAAGAAAAAATAAATTCCTATTTGCTACAGATTCATAAGTCATATGCAATAGCTGAAATTAAATCAAAGATGAAATCCAATTCATTTACAGGTCAATAAGTCACGACTCACACAAGCTAAAATTTAAAGCAAGAATAAAGACAACAGAGAAGAAGAAGAAGAAGCAGAAGAAAGAAATTAGGAAAGAAATTAAGGTCTGTAAAAAAGGAAAAATACCAGAAAAGAAGAAGACGGGTTTGTGAACTGGGGTTAGTGGAGGGGGGGGGGGGAGGAGAGAGAGAAAAGAAAATGAAAGAATTTGGGGTTTTGAAAAAGGAAAACAAAAAACAAAAAATAAAAAATAGATGAAGAAGAAAGAAACTGGGGTTAGTGAAAAACGGGGGAAAAAAAAAACAAAGGAGAGAGAAAAGAAAAAGAAAGAAACTGGGGTTTTGAAAAAGGAAAACGAAAAAAAAACAAAAAAAAAATAGATGAAGAAGAAAGAAAGAATCTGGGTTTGTGAAAAAGGAAAAAGAAAAAAAAAATGAAGAAGAAAGAAAGAAACTAGGGTTTGTGAAGAAAAAGAAAGAAAAGAGGAAGGAGGAGGAAGAAAAGAGAGGAGAGAGAGAGAGAAAGAGAGAGAGAGACTGACCTGGAGGCTGGAAGGAGTCGCTTTGATCTGCAGCAGGAAGTTGCAGAGCTTCGTCGTCAGTTTGAGAGAGCACAACCCCCGTCCTTTGAATCTGATCTTGTAATAGTGTAATGACTGCCTTAAATATCTATCTCTTTTGTTTAAAATTACATATTTACCTTGAAAGTTTAAAATTATTATGTTCTGACCACATAAGTAAGTAAATAACTTTATATATTTGTACTTTAACCCAACTTTCTTTTAAAAATTATCTTTTAAACCCCCAAAAATAAGACACGCGTGTCGGACACACACCCTGGCGTGTCGGACGCGTGTCCGTGCCGTGTCCAATCCGTGTCCGAAAATTTTAAAAAAATAAAAAATTCCAGACACGCTTTTTGCCGTGTCCGACACGTGTCGGGCCGTGTCCGACGCGTGTCCGTGTCCGACACAGATTCTTTGCCTATTTCGGAGTGTCCGTGCTTCCTAGCCTGTATCAATTTCTTCTGGATTTATAACTTTTATAGCTAAATTTTGAAGTAGGAATGCCCCCTTTTAGTATCATAAAATTATAAATAAATTCAAGTATTCTATTTTCTTAGAGTCTCAGTCAAAATTGGGGAATGGCAATTTTAAGAGTTTTTTCATTTCGTAGTTCTCATGTATAATGTTTCCATTGCATAAAGAAGCTTCAATAGGAGATAAAGAAAATTTCTGACTAAGCATACAAGTGTACTACTGATAAGTAGCCTCTTAAGTCTGATTTAGAATGAATAAAGTTAAAAAATTTGTCACTTTTTCTTTTATTTTTATATAGAAGGGACATCTGATTGATTTCATGTGTACATTAGAAGTCTTAGGTGTACAAACTTATATCGATGAATATTGAACTTGAAACACACATCATATACTCTTGATGCTGATCCTCTGTTCTTATTCTTTGTGGGTGCTGTCACAGGAACTCAATGGCTTCATAGCAGGGTTGACGTAAATGGATACGAAGAGTATAGCGGTATCGAGTACCGGTCTGCTGGATGTTCTGAGGACTATGCTGTCATTGAGTGAGTTACTGTTCGGATAATGCTGCGACTACATTTCTATTGAATAGGTGTAATTTTCTGGTAACATCAGAAAATTAGTTATCTGAATATGAAAAACTCTTGTCATAGCTGAGACATATGAATTACTTTAAACTGGCACATCTGATGACATGATAGGCTCAGTGTGCATGTTGAAGATGGAAAATATTAGGTCTAAGCTAACTTCTATAAATAACTGATTCTTCATTTTCAGTCAGTCAAGGAAGTCGGCTAATCTACAATACCTTCTATTCCTGGAGCCTGACCACCTTGTATGCCCTGTAGACATAAACTTTAATCACTTCAGCATTCTTCTTGGGAAACCATGTTTCCAGTTTTCTTCCCTCTTAGCAGATGCCTAAATGGCAATCTTGGTGATGTATAGTCGAGTTCTACTGGGAGCTCATTGGATATGTGCAGACATGTTATATGGGATAATGTGCAAGAGGTGTATCCCAGTTCCCTTGACTTTATATATCATGTTAATGCGCTCAGAACCCTAGGGTATTGGAAGATACTACCATGCTCAACTAGTATGCCTCTGAATTCACTGATATTATGTAGGCACATTGTAATTAATCCATTCTAACAATTTGATATGCATTTAAGAGCTTCCTTTAAATTGGAAAAGTTAGTGTTTTCCCAGCAAAGGAAAAAAAAAAAAAAAATGGGCATGCCATGGCCTTGGATCTTGTTCCTTGCAAATTTATGGTTAAGGGTCACAGAAGGTCTTAATAGTTACTTTTAACTAACCGAGGTGGGCCATGTCATTGTTGTCTTTAAATCTCTCCTGTTGTTAAAAAAATTTAGTTGGATCCTTTTCTTTAATTATTCCCAGGTGGGCCATGTCACCCTTGTCTTTAAACAGAGTTCTTCATTTCCCGTTGTTAAACTATTGAATTCTATGAACTCAATTTATTTTTTCAGAAATATATTAATTAGACTGTACTAGTTAGTCTAGTGTAATAAAATTCCTTCTCGAGTATTCCCCCTTTTCAGTTTTGAAATGTTCAAAATATCTTGACTAATCATTATTTAAAATGACACTTCAAAATCAGTCTGTCTTGAATTTCTTTTATATTTTTATTTTTTTGTGATAGATTGAATTTAGACCCCGTTGATCTTGCAAAGAAATAACTGTTTCATCACCAGTTTATTAGTGACATTAGTTTAACTACCATACATGGATAGGTTTGTAAGGTCTCGAAACTTGTAAAATTGGAACATACATGAAGAAGAAATTTGTTTTTGGCTTATAGTAGGCCAAAAAGGATAATCACTGTTGCAACATCATTTTCTGAAATTATTACATATTTCCATCATATTGCTGAATCTTCTTTCTCTGTAGGCGAGATCTTGAGCAGGCAGGAGAGACGGAGTCTCTCAAACTAGAAGGTGATATTGGCGGTGGATTAGTTATTGAACGGCAGATATCTTTTTCAAAGGATGACCCAAAGGTTTTCCAGATTGACTCAAGCATTGTATCCCGCAAAGTTGGTGCTGGTTCTGGTGGATTTTCAAGGTTTTGCTCATGATCTAAATACTATATTTTAACATGACTTTGTTGTAGCATTTGAATGGAATTCTAAACATATGGGTCAAGCTGACAAGTAAGGGATTATGTTAATCTTGTGGGCATGGTTCACAGTCGCCGACCAAATGTGGTGTAACAGAAGCGGGCCCATAGGGTCTAAAATGCAATGATACACATCTTTTTATAACATAATTAAATAAAAATGGATTTTTAGTGATATTTTATTGAATTTTTTTAGACTATTTAACACTAGTAGTGACTTACTCATAAATTTTAAGTTGTCGTCTTAATAAAAAGGCTTGGTAATTATACTTTTTACTAAATTAATAAATGATAATTTTAAATAAATGAAAATCCAGACCAAAAAACACATCAATATTATGACTCAACAAATAATAAAAATGAATTAAAAAATTAAATCTAAGAGAAGACATGATTTATAATAGAAAAGAGTCAAAAAAGAAAATTCATGTGGCTGACCCCACCCATATGGAATAAAGGCAATGATGATGATGACGTCAACATTACCTCAATAATCAGTCACATTGTTTAGCTCTAAGAAGAACATAAATTAAAAAAATAAATACAAATTAGTAAAAAATAAAAAATGATTAAAAAAAATTCAGAAAATAATGAATCAGAACAAATCAAACAAGTATCTCACACACAAAAATAATAATAATAATAAATAAATAATCATTTTCCATGTGAAAATAAAAACAAATCCAAAAATTGTAAAAATTCTTAAATTTTTTGGGATTAAGAGCTTCTCCAAAGCACCTATATGTTATTTAGTATATGAACATGTACTTATCTTACTTGAAATATGATATTCATCAATTTATTAAATATTATTGTTGGTGATTTTTATTTAATAAAGTAAAATAAGAAAGTAAAGAGAGGGCAAATTTGTCATTTGAAATAGGGACAGTTAATGTCATTTTATTTGAAAAAGGGTAATTTAAACATTTAGATAGAAGTTCTTTTAAGAGACTAAAAGATGAGAGTGGGGGTATCTGTGTTTACGTTAAACCTGAGGGGAGGTTGACTAGGGTTGTAACCGAGCCGAGCCGAGTATTGGAGTGTTCAGGCTCGACTTGAAAAAACAATAGATATGCTCGAACTCGGCTCGAGCTCGATCCAGCCTAAACTAACTATGATCGAGCTCGGCTTGGCTATATTTCAATCGGTTCGAGCTCGGCTCGATAACACGCTGGCGTAGTGTCATATTTGTAGACATCTTCATTCAACATCTATGGAAATTTCAAAAACAGAGATATGAGAAAGAATACTTGCATGTGTAGTTGCAAACTTGCATATGCAATTCTGAGCTTTAAGATCTCCAGTGGTGTTTGCCGGAAAATGATTTTTGAGGCCGGTTGCATATGTGGTTGCTGACTTATATGTGCGATTTAGAGCTTTAAGGTCTCCGGCGTATTTGCCGGAAAATGATTCCTCACTGGTAGAAGACTTGGCAACATCAGCAACAATCTTCTGTTGCATTTGCGGCTAGAGTTAGTATGATAAAGATAGACAATTAGGTTGAGATTTGGTGGCTTATATATTATAAGGGAGTTGGGCCGAGTTAGGCTTGTGAAGGATATTGGGCTTTGTCTGCTTTAATTGAAAGATGAATGGATTGACCAGTGGCCTAGCGGTATCAGCCTCTTGCTTTCCAAAGGGAGGTCAAGAGTTCAAGTCTCATAAGAGAAGTGTGTGTGAGTACCAACTAGGAAAAAAAAAAAAAAAAAAAAAAAAAAAAAAAAAAAAAAAGATGAATGGATTGGGTCTATTTTAATTTTTGGAGGAATGGTGGTCTAATTAATTTCAATAGGAATCATTTAAGAAATTTAAGGTCCAAAATTATTTATTTATTAGTATATATAATAAATATGAATATATATTATTTATCTATTAGTGTATATATATATATATATTCGAGTTCTAAGCGAGTAGATTATTGAGCTTGTTCATGAACGAGTTCATGAACTAACGAGCCAAGTAGGGATTTGTTTGAGATTGCCTCATTTATTAATCGAGATTGAAATTTGTGTTTGAGCTTGGCTCATTTATTAAACAAATGAACACGAACCGAGCTCTTAACAAGCCAAGCCCGAGCTGTTCGTCGAACACTTGGTTCATTTACAGCCCTAAGGTTGACCACATTTTTTTTTAAAGTTTTATCTTTAGTTACAAAGAGAACTCCAGGGAGGTGAGGGTAATTGACCCAAAAGAAAAAATTTAGGGGAAGCTAAGGTTTTTGAATATATTGTTGATTTGGTATACATACCCTTTCATGATTCTAAACCCATATATATATATATATATATATATATATTGACTGGACCAGCAGCCCCCCAGACTGTGCCCTTAGTGATGGTCGTCCCCTGGTTATATATGTGTAAATTTAAATTTTATTACAGCTTTATGTTGGCATCCTCTCTCTCTCTCTCTCTCTCTTCCCTGATATACTTTAGCAACGTGTATTTTTACTAGTGTTTTATTTATTCTATAAAAATTTTTTTTTGGGCATTTCATTTCATAGATGGCTGACTTTACAGGTTTTGTTTTTTCTTTACTTTTATCCTTCTCAGTAGCCTTCATGTATGTATATTGTTGTTCTGCAGGCTTGTTTGCTTGCGAGTGCACCCAATGTTTACACTCTTGCACCCCACTGAATCTTATGTTTCATTTGTCTCCATTAATGGATCTAAGCAAGAAGTTTGGCCAGAATCTGGTGAGCAATTTCTGGAAGGCGATCTTCGGCCTAACGGTAATTCTCTCTCTGTGTCATTTTCTTTGTTATTTTGGTGACAGTTTCTATTTTCTATACCATTACAATAAAAAGTTTACTTTTCAACAAGAAAAGGAGAAAAATAAAAATCCAAAGGACTATTCAGGGAAGCAAGAAAATTAGGTCACATGAAGATGAATTACAGCGAACTTCTTTTCATTTTTGTGTTAAATCAGAACAAGTGTACAACCTTAATATGTGTTATTGCATCAAGTCCATGCATAGCGAACTCCTTACCAGGAACATGCATCGAAAATAGCTGTTAGAGATGAATATGCAAAAGTTTTCAAAGGTATGAAGAAGTAGATGTAACATTTGCTTAACAAACTCATGTTAATGTTCATAAAATATATTTATCAAAATTCTAATTTAAATATTTTGCATAAATTATGAATACCTAATACTAATTATGTTTGCGAGCTACCTTGTAGCAAATAAAAAAAGATTAAAATTTGAGTTATGGATCATCTTTCTACTACAAATTAAGGAACTTCACAACTTGGCCAAAACTAGCTAGATAAAATCTTGATTTTGCTTCTTGAATCTGCTGCTCTGAATTAAATATTGAAATGAAACAATTCAGGGTTTTTTAGCATAATATGATGCTTAGGTTAACATTAATATATTAAGAAAACTATGTTGATCAAAACAACCGACATTTCATCCACTGAGGTTTCATAAGCCAAAGCTCGTTGTAACAGATAGCACAGCTTAATATTAAATGGCTGCAACTTCCAGCTTTTATATGCATGTCTCGGCATGGCAGAAACTATCTGTGGGTTTTTTTTTTTTTGGGTACAAGCATATAATGTCATCATCCATTACCTCACTTCCGTTTATCTATTTATATATTTGTTCTTTTCAGGGCAAACTTTCAATGTTTGAAACTGCCACCCTGCTTGTTCTACTCCATAGGCCAGTTAAATTATGTGTTTTCATTGTGACCTTTTATGTTTCAGGTGAATGGATGCTTTTTGATAAATGTCTCGGCTTGGGTTTGGTCAACCGCTTTAATGTTGGTGAGGTTCACAAATGTCTTATACATTGGGGGACAGGGACTGTTAATTTAGAACTTTGGTCTGAAGAGAGGCCTGTATCAAAGCAATCACCTCTCAGAATTTCTCACAAATATGAGGTGAGGGAAATTTCGTAGTTTCTTGAGAATGACCATGTGTAAAACAGCATACAATATGGGCCGAAACCTGTTTGGTGTACTTTCACTATTGTTATTTGATACGCTAAGTATTTGTTGATTTAAATGCATAAAATCTTTTGAAATAAAAGGCCCTTTGCTATCGTCAACAAAAACTGTTCATGGATATTTTGGTTCCAGTTGATCCTGAAGGTAGATCCATTAATCTTAATTTTAATTTTTGCTAGGAAGGTCCTTTGCTACCTCCAAACAAGATTTTGGAGGTAGATCCTGGACTGGTGGAAAGTCCTATCTGAATATTGGGAAGCACCAGGAATAGTAGAAAGTTGGTACATTAACTGGTTAACTATTTTGAACTTGTTCAAAATGATTGAAGGTGGCTTCTTCATCGTCTTCTTGAACGCCACTTTATCAGAAGTTAGGATACTGAGGTTGGCCTTTAGTTCAAATTCTAGGTGAAGGTAACATACTAAGAATGAAGCCAATTCACTCAAAGCTACCCTTATTCTACTCCATCTTGTCCATTCTTTCATCCTCATCAAAATACAGTCTGTAAAATGGCTGATGGACCATCTCCGTTAGTCCCATTTCTAATGGTGGTCGCTTTGGGACTGGTCATTTTCGGACGCTCTCTCTTAAACAGTGCTACCTTGGTCTCTGGCGCGGAGAAAACAATCTTTGATTTTGTTTTTGTCATTCCACTTCTGGTTCTGCTTGTGGTTCATTTCATAAGCAAATCAATTGCAGTTCCTCTAACGCTAATTTTCCTAGCATACATTGTTAGTAAGATGCTTCTCGGCCCGTTGGTATTGATATTGATCATTTACATTGTCAACGTTTATTTACATTCTTTTCAACAATTCGAATTTAGAAGAGATGTGTTTGATGAAAGAGATGGGAATGGACATGGATGGGGATCAGTGCTGTTACTTATTATCTTCCTAGTACTGTATGGCTTGTTATACGAAGGAGAAGGATATGAATTGGGACTTGCTGTGCTCGCTATGATACTATTCCTCTTGTACAACTTGTGTCAATAATATGTAGAGCCTTGCCCTCGTATGATTTGGCTCACAAAATTCACTGACCATGTGTGTGTGTATATTTGGCTCACAAAATTCAGTCTAACCACGTGCGTGTGTGTGTATATATATATATTGTTAGATTTCTGCCAAGTTATGGTTACTTTGTATCTTGAGAGTGTTAGGGCTCTTTTGATGAGACTGATCCCCTTAAACGTGTAAGAACCGACCAAAAAAAAAAAATAAGAACAAGAGATGTCTGCATCATGAAACATTATCGGTTTTGTTTCATGATCGGTTTTCAATTTGTCTATAAACACAATTAGCTCATACTTTGTCAAAATTCAAGTAAAAGAAATTCCATTAGGTAGTTGAGCATCTACGGCAACTTCCGGTGCAAAGTACACCGGTATGAACATAGAAAATTCCACAACGATAGAAAAGTACACCGGTATGAACGATAGAAAATTCCACAACGATAGAAAATTCCACGAATCTACTTTTCTTGCTCTTGACCGGGAAAATTTATAGCAGAAGTTGAATTCCGAGTTCACATGTATTCCAAGAATTGGAAAGTTATGAAGGCCACTTCAAAATCAGTATGACCTATTCTCTTAAATTATGTCATGCAAAAAGTTTCTACACCCTCAACGCTGCAACAACTCGGAAGGTGATTTTCTTCCAGAAACCCCTGAATTTAGCATGTTAAATGAATATGGACTTATTTCATGTTTTACACTTAGACCGTTGTGTGAAGAAACCATATACATACACATATATATCTATCTATTTATACCCTATAAAAGTATATTCTATTTGTATTTTTTATATACACTTTTTGGTAATAATAATATATATATTTCAAATAACTACTCACACCTCTTCTAAAAGTCACCTTTTATTATTTATATACAATTAAATCATTAAATTTATTTTAATAAATAAATGTGACTTTTCAAATAATTACTAACATCTCTTCTAAAAGTCGCGTTTTTATATATACTCTTTTGTAATAATAACATATACTTTTCAAATAACTATTAACATTTCTTCCAAAAGTCACCTTTTATTATTTATATACAATTAAATCATTTAATTTATTTTAATAAATAAATGTGACTTTTCAAATAACTACTAACACCTCTTCTTAAGGTCACATTTTAACTGTAAACACCTATTTAACACCCTATATCTCACTCCCCTCTATTTCTTTCCATCTCTCTTTGAAAAGAATTTCTTCACAAAAAGTTTGTTAGAGGTTTTTTCTTCCACAAACAATTTCAACGGCTTTGAGAGGAGACTCGTCTTTTGGTTCATGTACATCAAATTACAACTCAAAACCCTTTCAAATTTTTTTTTTTTAAAGGTATGTTTTACTTTGAATTGAAGAACAATTTATATATATTTTATTTTTCTATCTAATCATATATATTCATATTGTTTCATACATAATTAGTACATGAGGAGTTATTATATTTTATATGTTTTCCTAATAGTTCAGTTCTGGAATTCTTTTATTACGATGTGAAAGAAACATGCATGAATATTAACTTTGTTCTGTTCAGAAAAATTACAAAGATAAAATATATGAAACATTGTATTTTATATGCAATATATGTGTACAAGTCTATATAGGTAACTGAAGTATATAATCATTGATTGAAATGTCAGTTAGTTATCATAGAATTCTTTTATAAATGAATCATTATATATACAATACATAATTAGTACATGAGGAGTTTTTATATTTTATATGTTAAAGTGTATTCAATTTTAATTTTTATACCCTATAAAAGTGTATTTGATTTATAATATTTATATACATTTTGAATGATAGTGGAATACTTGGTAAATGTTCTTTTGTGAACGTGACAATCTTGGAGTCTTTCAACTCTCCAACAGGCCAGAAGTTTTTTGCTCTCTATTATTTTAATATACTTTTACTGATATTTTATTGGACTGTTATTATTTTATAATACTTTATTTGTACCATTTATATTCTGCTATAACTAAGTGTTTTGGTCTAACTACATCCTGATCATGTTTAAATATTAAAAAATTCTCATTCTCTGCGTACATAACATGTTTACTGTTCTTTGTTGCTTTTCTATCTAATTTTGTGTTCCTTTCCTATTTATTTTTTTAAGAAATATTGTTCTTTTATATACGTTTGCCTAATTATCTCCAAAGTATATATAATTCCGTTATATACTTTGTTCATACTTGGAAGTCTGTTCCATGAAGATTTTTGGAAGCATTGAGAAATTGCAATGTAAAAAAAATAAAATAAAAAAAAAATACTGAGAAATTAAGAAATTCTCTAAAGTTATATTTAGAATAAAACGGCATTTAGTTCAACCAGTTTAATATATACTTTATCTATAATACTCCATCCGTCCCATATTAGATGTCCCTTTTAGGGAGTAGAAATTTTTAAGGGGGCATGTAATTATTGCATTGTCCCCCTCAAAAATTACAAAGCAACCCTTTCAAGTTTATATATATATATATATATATATATATATATATATATATAATAAAGTTTGAAATTTTTAAAAATTTTAAGGGTATTTTATGGAAAGATGTGAAATATTTTGTTTAAACTTAATAAGTGGACAAATATTTTAGGACAACCCAAAAAGGAAAGATAGACAACTATTATGGGACAAAGGAGTATGTGTATTACATATACATATATATGTGTATCTATATATCATCATAAACCAATTTCTATTTACTTATATTGATTTAAAAAAAAACAAAAAAACAAAAAAAGCATGGATATGATCTTCAATTGGAAATAAATTATTTCATCTCAATACATCATATTCTTCAAATAAAAACTCACTTTTATTTCACTTCTTTAATCATTTATATTACTGAAAGTCACAATCTTTTTTAGAAAAGTATCATAAACTAAAACTCTTCTTAATTGTGAAATCTTTTTCTTTTTCACTCTTTTTCTTTAGCGTTAAGGAAAAGCGTGATTGATTAAATTTAAAATTCTATCGTGCATCAAGCAGTGTAAAAGTTATTTTCTAAATTCTTTCGTAAGTAGAGAAGCATTACAATCCTCGACTAAAAGTCAATTTCTTTAAATAATAAATTATTAATATTAAATAATAAATTAATAAATATATATCTAAATCAAAAATTAAAAGTTGTGTTTATTCAACCGCATTGGAATAAAAAGCTCATAACATTCTTGTATATAAAGTTATTCAATTTTACTGAAATTGATATTATTAAACATCTTTTAAAGAAACCAGATGATGGTTGAAAGTTATAAATTTCATTTATAAATAAATCTCTCTTGACAAATTTTAGTTATCTCTGAATTTCTGGTATGTATTAATTACATGTATTGAAATCTATTCATATGAAAAAGTATGAATTTCAATTTTTTTAGAGTGTTGAAAGAATTTGTTGGATAAAAAAGAAGGTGTCATGAAGGTGAGAGTGAAATACGTAAATGTTATACTCCTTTTCCGAATTTAGAAATTAGAGAGACACAAGTGTTATACAGAGTGAAATAGGCAAGTGTTATAATCCTTTTCTGAATTTAGAAACGTTTACGGTGCGTAGAGAGACACACTTTTAATAGCAAATACTTGTAAAAAAATTAGACTGTTCATAATTATAGATTTTATTTATGAATATATCATAATACTTACTCTATATCATAATAATTATGTGTGAACAACTTTAAGGTCTCTATATAATATGTTATCATGTATATTATATTCTATTCAGCCATACATAACAAAAAAAATAAATAAATAATTGATATAAGACGGGCACATATAATTATTTAATTTTTATTGCATGTTTTTAAATCTATTAATAAAAAAATGTAATGTATTATATGTAGTATTTATAAACGTACTGTTATATTCTAATACACCATATGATCGATTTGATATAATAAATCTCTTGTACAATTGATTCAATAGTCTTTTTCATTGCTTTGCAAAATAAAATTATATTCTTTAATTGTTCGGCTATAAATAGCACAAGAATATTAGGGTTTGCATAAGGTTTTAGATAAAGAGATTTTGAAGATGATGAAAAAGTCTTATTTGTCTTTGAGATTAATAGTCAAATAGTTATTCGGATGATAAATGATAACTTAA